GATAACCTGAAAAATTTTCCATTTTTAACGAGGGGTACTGACAAAAAGTTAAGAAAAATTTTCAAACAAATTGCCGCAGAAAAATCCCCATGGTAAAATTATAAAATTTTGAAAATTTTTCTTAACTTTTTGACGGTACCCCTCGCTAAAAATAGAAAATTTTCCAGGTTATCAAGTGTGCTGAATACGAAAAAGCACTTTTCTTTAACTCTAAATGAACTTTAATTTTTGTCGGTGATATGTTAATAGTTTTTTCTTGCATAACTGAACCAATGGAATTTATTTGAAGTTGAATTTGGTATGAAATTTAAATAAAATTTTCTCCAAAATAGTACCAATATATAATTTTTCGAAGGCTTTGGTTATTGAAAAAAATAAATTGTCGAATAATATGTAAACCATTCAACATTCTTCATCAGCGTTCTAAACATATCCCTGTAATTCATAAGTATACATAATTCCTATACATGCATATAGCATGCAGATGGTGTTTTCGCACCTAACTCGACTAGTCAAAGAATACGCTCAATAGAAATTTGAATATTATAAAAAATGACGGATGATGATAGTATTTTTCAATCCAATTGGCTAATAAGATCGTATTCGTACTAGATCAAGTGTAAGAACATAATTTCATACTGTGCAGAAAGCAAAGTATTACACATAGACGAAAACAGATTATATAAGTAAAATATTTTTTAAACAAATCAGAAAAATCAACGGGAGTCTTACTCACGGATTCTCCTTTATCTACCTGTGACCATCTATCACACCTGTTTCATAAAAAATATCACGTATATAATAATATAATCTGCCGAAAACAGTCGAAACTGACTGTATTGTTTCCTTGTGCTAAAATTCCTTTCCTTCCATAATTTTTTATTCTCAAACTATTTAAATAAAAGTTTCTGTAAATACCAAATTAGACTTTACTGAATTTTGTATTTGTTTTCTCACTTGATCATTATGGAGAAAACTTCATGTTTTAACAGTTTGGTTGTGAGAGCTGATATTTCTTAGATATACTGTATCTGTCAGAAGTAGATTACACTTTAAATTTGATTGTGCTAACCTATCTAGTTGCAGAGCTGAAAAACGCTTTTTAAATCAAAATGCACTTGTCACAATAGACGTGATTGACGATTAATTTCCGTACAAGGGTAAGACACAATGATAAGATTAAGATGAACAGTCATGGTAAGTCATCATTGTACTTATCTTGATCGAGAAGAAGAGAGCATAAATGTTAAAGAAAATTGCATGAATGTAGGTCAATCATAAATCAGCATTGTAGCGGAGAAAATAAATGCGTATGGTACGTGGTCAGAGAACTTGGCGTATCCGCTTTAATATCACCAATGCACTCAAATATTAGAAAAATGATCCTCAAATTCACTAGATGAAAGTTTTAAGTTTAAACAAGAATATTTCATTTCCTCATATTTCTTCTTTCTGGCCAAGCACCACTACACAGGTCCTCATACTGCACTTTAGAGGTGTCCTTGACGAATATCTCAGTAACGATGCTTGACCAGAAGGAAGAAATATGAGGAAATGAAATATTATTTGTGGCTTGTTTAAATTTAAAACTTTCATCAATAAAAAGGAAGAAAATAAGGTAGAAGAAGAAGAGAATAAGGACTCGAACACGGTTGTGGATCTCTGAAGCAGAAAGACAGATGAGCATGAACGCTCATTATTGGGAAAAGGCTTGAACTTCATACCGACTCAACCTTTGAATGAAACTAAATTTGTATCAAAACTTATAGCCGGGGTTGAAGCCAGTATCTATCGAAAAAGCTTAGGGGATGGAGAGTATATTGTTAGTGAAGTGAAAAGAGTGCTGGAGCAACAACTTGAAGCAGATAAAGAGAAGGGCTTTGAAAACTTATCTAGAATGCAACGGAAAGCAATCAGAAAATTAAAAGAGGATGAAGATATTATCGTGATCCCGGCAGATAAAGGAGGCAAAGTAGTCGTAATGAATGTGACTGACTATATCAAGAAAATACGAGAAAAACTAGATACAAAAGTTTATATGCAGTTAGAAGAAGATCCGTCTGAATTTATACATAAAAAGCTAGAAGTGCTATTATCTGAATTGGTGGGTAAAAACGAGATTGCTGAGGATGAAATGGAGATGTTACTAGTGAATAAGAAAATACCATTTATGCGAGGACAGTTAAAAGTTCACAAAGCAGATAAACCAATGCGCTTAATTGTATCGATGAGAGATACAATGGGATCAACACTGGCTAAACACATCACAAATACATTATTATGGTAAATAATTGCTGTTTTATTAGTGCATTGTTTGGCACTAGTAGTAATACATTGTTTTGTTTATTCCAGGTAAAATTGAAAATGCTATTCCATTAAAATATCCACCTCTTCCGAATGAATTAGCTCAGAAAATAAACGAACAAGTGAAAACAAATCGTCCGAATGACGTTTATTTAACAATGATCAGTAATGGGGAAGCGGTGCTCACTCACGTTAACAAAACCTACGTTCGTAATCGACGAAGTCAAGAATTGAAAAAGTTAATATTAACTCATGATGAATTATATAATATTTATTTAATGGAATTCGAAAGCGACACATTCATTCGACGTGTTCTATATATTTCATTGCTTATCGATAGACATTTTTAAATGTCTGGTTCTACAAACGAAATTGGAGCATGTCTGGAAATTCTTCTGTAAAGCCTCTTTTGAAAGCAGTTTCATTATCAGTTATTATATACATTTATTATTTGCCATTGGACAAAGACGACGAAATAGTTGAATTAATTCTAGATGGCTCATTCGTTGCTTAGTATCATGAAGAAGATACATCAATATAAATATCGACATATTTTGAAAGAGTGGATGACGAAAGACGAGGGAACTAAAAGCCAAAATGTAGCATAAAAAATCAACGGACAGCAACTTCACGAAATGGTAAGTTCTGTTCAAGATTATTTCGTTGCGATTGATACAACACACAATGTAGCAGGTAATGATCAACACTTTCAATGTCACCACAGGTACCAAGATTAGTGAGACTAAGTTTTTTAGTATACAAGTTTGCATTTAGTGGTGGAAAATCCAC